ATAGTAGCATATGCTTTTCGAGAAAAAAAAAGGGTGGCCTCATTGGTGGAGAGTTGCACCTGCTGGAAAGCGCTCGGGCCGCTGTAGCTAGGTACAGGTCACTGCTTTTAAAACTAGATACGAGACCTGGAAAAGATGACCAAACCGACCATTCTAGAAAATATCAGCAGCAGTGAACCAGCTTTACATCCGCGCAATGCGATCATACGGGCAAGGACTTAGTTCGTTTGAACAGAGTACAAGACAAACAAAACGCTATGCACACTCAATGATCGCCTTTTTTTTGCGGGGGGGGGGAAGCATCTCAGAAAGTCTATTTGAGCGGGCGGGCTCTCCAAAAGTAGCATATGCTTTTCAAGAAAAAAAAAGGGGCGGCCTCATTCATGGAGACAAAAAACTCATAGCAGTCATAAAACAAAGTAAAATAATTTCAATTACAAATGAATCTTAAGAAACATTTTTCAAAGCCAGGTAAATGAAGAATGAAGCTTAATCCATAATAAAAACGTAACTTTTGTTTTTCTAGAAGTCTAATATTGTACTGTGATATCTTTTTATTAGAAGACAATGATGCAGTAGATGAACCTACAGTCTTTATCTCAGCATTTTACATTAAAAAAAAATCAATGTGCAACTATCATGGATTCAAAAAGTAATAGAGGACGTAGAACCTTGGAGAAAAAAAAAGGTGTTTTTTTTTATTCACAACAAGCCAACTCTAATATTGTACTTTGATATCTTTTTATTAGAAGACAATGATGCAGTAGATGAACCTAAATATTGGAACTTAGATTTATATAATTTTTGGGTAAACCCTGGCAATGGACCAAGACGGCGTACTATTTTTAGACAAGGGCCTCTATATCGTGACATAATTAATTACTCCCTAAAAAAAATGATCTAACCGCGTGTGCCCCCAGCGGCCCTGTGTTCTTTTAGACTCCATGTAAAATAGCTACACTTTCTGCTCTACCGTGTGCTGTGCTCTTTTTGCCACGCTCTTGCGCCGCTGCGTGTTGTGCTTTCGTTCCCCTGTGCCGCTGCATTTCCAGGGCAGCACACGCAGAGTGTGTAGTTTGACCTAGATATGTTCGGGTGTACAATGTGCAGAAGACGCCGGTCCACGACAATCATGACGAGACCGGCGCATCAAGAAAGAGGCCGGAGAACAACATCAGCGTGCCAAAGACATTCACGCCGCTGGTGCTAAATACAACCACTACACTTGTTTGTTTTCACTTTTCCTTTTGCTGTTCCGGGTTGGCATACACACCGCCTGCAGTTTACTTTGGCCTGAACTCGCAGCAGAATGATCATAGACGCAATGGAGTTTTCAGTCAGACTCTTCGTTCCGGTTGTCGTTTTCCCGTGTACAATAACTATGCTTTTCCACTGTGCTGTGTCTTTTGCTGTTTTTGCCTCGGTCTTGCGCCGCTGTAGACCGCATCCTTGTTGGATGATCGTAGGCCTGCGTTCTTTTAGACTCGTCCGTGTAAAATAGCTACACTTTTCTACCGTGCAGTATGATTTGCTCTTTTTACCACGGTCTTGCGCCGCTGTACAAACCCTGTCCACGTGAGACAACTGATACCGATTGCAGCTAGCGCGGTTGTTTGTTTTTGCTTTTCCTTTTGCTGTTCCAGCCCGTTCCCGGATTCGCATACACACTGTCTACAATTTGCTACGGTTCGAGCCCGCGGTGGAGTGACCATAGACACAATGGAGCTTTGAGACGGGCCCCTTGGTTCAACCGTCGTTTTTTGAGTGGTTTCATACGACAAACAGACTGATTCCACCTTTCTTTTCCGTTTCTGCGGCTCTCAATTTCGCAATAAGTGATCTTCTTGGTCAATCTACTCCCGTCAGCCGTGTGTTCTTTTTGGGGTTCGAGTCGACACAATGCTCGCTTGCAGATAGCAGAGCGTGTGCTGCTTTCCTTCAAAAGAGCATATAGTGTGAGGAATGCTCAACAAATTATCCTAACAGTCATGTTCAGACATCCCATGGAAGAATGATGCATGTAAGATGATGTCAGGCAGCATCCCATAGATCTCCACCAATGCAGCCACAGAAGAAACAGGCAGCCAACACCATCTCGAATTTCCGTAGGTCTAGCGTTCGAGTCTGGTCATTATGGCTTCATGCAGACTGAAAGTTGCCCCACATGTGGCTATGCTGACTGGGCGTTCTATTGGGATGAAGATGATAGATCTTATCAGTTTACCTGTCCAGTCCAGTTAGCTCACAAAGGCCGCTACTGATGAATGTGCCAACATTTCTTCCCGGATGCATCCGACGCCTCTTCATTGCAGCAGTTGTGACACGAATGCTGAAAAATCTTCATTGGATCCCTACCAAATTTCGCGTATGTCCCTTTCTCTTCTGTTCTTATTCGTGCACAGGTGCCATATTGATTTTCTCGGTATTGTTCCAATTTTAACAGACATCCCTAGAGCATTATAACTTACATTCTCATCCCTATATTACAACTTGCACACAT